AAATAGTTACAAAAAAATCACTATTGAGAAATTTTCATATCTTAAATCCCCAAAAAAATTCAGGTCCTAAAGAGTTCTTGTGAACATAAGAAGAATCATAACATAGGGAAGGCTATGTTGTGAATCTGAAGATTCATCTAAATCTGCGTTTTGTCTCTCCATAAGCAACCACACCAAGAACGGTTATGGAGTACCCGCCAATTCCCATAACCGTAACCGGGTTTTGAAAGATCAAGATCGAAATCACCACTGCAACTGCTCCTTTAGCATTTCCAAGAACCTTGCACAACGCGAAACACACAATCAACATTGTTTGCCTTGTTATCTCCAAGATCTTCATGGTTTTAGTATTCGAGATAGAGAGAGGCTAATAGGTTTACCTGGAGAGTGAGGGCGCTTGTGTATTTGGTAACCAGAAAATTCAATAAGTTGGCTGAATAAGCCATTACCGAGTTAACGAGAAGTAGTATCCACATGTACTGATGTTGTTTCGCAAGCGTCAAGGTCAGGCTGATCACGTCTGGCTCCATAACTAGCGTGACGGGAAGGAGAGCTACGACAGCTATTGGAGACATATACAACATCAAATTCATCGAGTTCAATTTTTCCCTGTAAGAGAAAGGAAAAACAGAGTATAAAGATGTTGGTGTACGTCAAATGCGCCAAACTTTTGTTGATAACAAATTCAATTCTATGATTTTAACACCTTAACCTATCATACAACGTTCTACCTAACTAACCATTTATGAGATTTTTTTTATTAGATAACAAAAGTTTCCGACTTTTCGGATTTGATCAACTAAACTGATTGCAGAATCCAAATTCTATACGATAATTTACGGTAATATTTTACCCTTCTGAAGAAAGTAAGATGCCTTGAAGAACAGATTTAAAGGCTCTTGCCGCCGTAGCACTAATGCACATAATGAATCCAAACCAGTGAAATCCTGGCTCACCCTACAGCATAAGAACAAAATGGTACTTAGATCAAGATCACACACACACAAATACAATAACAATGAGACCGCCTCTTCGCAAACATGATATAACCACTTAATGAGCTTCAAAGATATCACCTTGCAGGAGGAGAAATAAGGAGAGCACAAAGGTTAGATCCCAAAAAGGGATGTTCTACCAAATTCTACACCTGATTAAACCATAAAAAAAAAATTGCTGAATCTTTTTAGATAACTCAACACTCAAATATTACAAAACCAGATTTCAAAGTTCTTCCTTTTGTTTAAAAGCTTAGGTCTTTCACAATACTCTTCAAGTGTACCATCTACACTACAGATCAGTCATCTGAATCCAACATTTGCAAGAAAACCATGAATTTAGGATCAAAACATCACACAGAAACCCCAAGATTCAAAATCAAACAAGCCTAAACATTTAAGAGAATTCAAAATAGAGTAAGGAAGAAAAAAAGAAGCTTTATTTACCCCACTGGCGATTACAACACCTGCAACGACAGGGACAAGAGCACCATAGGTAACCCAAGCTTCTCTCTTAAGGGTCATAAGATAAGCGAACAAAGCGGTGAAAAACGGCGTCGTAGCACCGACGGCTTGATTGAAAGATACCGGAAGGTACCGAAGAGAAATGTTACCACCGACGACGGAAGCACAGAAGACGATGCTAAGAGTCGCGACTTTGAGGAATTGGGAACGAGATTTGAGGGATTGGAGAGGAACGAGCTTGAGGAAGACGATTGAGATGTAGCTAAGGATTGCACAAGCGGACATGTGACACATTGTGAGAAAAATCGGGAATTTGAAACCGTAATTTGAGAGGAGGAACTTGTTGAGGAGAAGAACACCGATGTTTGAAGAGTACCATGAGATGATAAGGGTTGATATGAAAAGTGTTGTTTTTTTTGTCGACGATGAAGAAGAAGACGACATTGTTCTGTGATCTGGGTTT